AACTGCTTTAGTTAATACAAATTTACGTGCTAAACCACTTTTACATTCAATTAAAACAGTTAAAACTAATACTATTATTACATCGAAAGAAATCTTTTCAGGTGAAAATATTTTCTTTTTTTCTTATGTAAATTTATTAAATTTTAATTATAATTTCTATATAGAAATTGAATCTGAATTAAAAGAATCAAATGTTAAAAAAGTTTATTTATTTGATCCAAAACAAACAACAGCAACAGAACAAATTAAAAATAGTGCTGAATCAATATCATCTTCCTTTGATGTTGTTCATTTGTATGAACAATTAGAAGTATGTTCAACTCAACCACCTAAACCAATTCCATATGATTTAAAACGTATATTAATTAAATATAAATTAGTAGTTCGATTGAATTTTGATATTTATTATTATTTGTATAGATCCAGTTGTCTATATTTTTACATCGGGAACAACTGGATTACCTAAAGCAGCTGTTATTAAACATTCAAGGTTTGTTGAAGAAATATTTCGAGAAGTGCATAGGAACTCATTGGAAATTTTCTAAATATTTTTTGGGTATCCATGACGACAGTTACAACTTTTGTTATTTATCATTGTATCCACGTGAAACTCTCGTTATGAAAGAAAAGGGTAAAGGTTAGGTGACTTTCTTCTTGTCTTATCTTCGTAGATAAAAAAAAGTGTAATTTATACTTTTAAATAAATACTTATTTTTGTACTTGTTGTTAAACTTGATCCAAATAAAAAGGATACAGTTCAATAACATAAATTAACACTTACAGTTGTAATTGTTCTACAATTAATTTAAATAGAATATCGTTTACTCTTGTAGTTGTTATAGAGCTTTAACTAAATGAACAAAATATAATTTGTTGTTTGACACTACTAGTTACTGTTGTTGACGGTCATCAGATATATCAAAATAAAGGAAATATTAATTTTTTGAGGCTGATATTTATCGTTGCAATATTGTATAGGTACTTCTAAATACAAAAAGGATAATTTATTTTTTAACTAAATACTCTCTAACATTTACAAGTTATGCATTCCCTAATAAATTCCAAAGAAAGTCTCAAATACTCCTTGAAAATTAAGCACTTTCTATATGTATTTCTTAAGGACATTCTTTCTTTAGGTTTTTTTTACCATTTTTAATTCTCAAACAGAGAACAATCGAACAGGCTACACCTTGTCTTTCTATAGAACTGCATGTTGATACATGATGATCCCTATCAAACTTTATTTGATCTTGCTGAATATTTTTTTAAAGATATCTCAGAGGTATTTTTGAGCGTTTTCGAATATCTGAGTTCTTTTATGAGGAAAACACGTACAGGTTTGGAGTCGAAACCGAGGTGCTGGCTTTTAGAACCTGATAAATTCGGATACAACAGTCACAAATGAAAATGCCAGATTTTATCTTCGAAGGGTACTTCCGAGTATCTCTGTTATAATAGTGTCAGCTCAATCGGACCAAGTTAGAGAAAAGTTATAATCAACCAGTATTGAAGAAACTAATGTTTTGCTTTACTCTAAGCGAGAATTTCTTAAATTTAGTAACTCTATAACAGGAAGCTGTTTACAGTCAAATGAGGTCTCTAAGTGCACATGATACTTGAAGCTATCACATCTTATACTCAGCTCAGAGTGAAACTGTTGTTAGAAACAGAGGGATAAGGTACTCTTATGGGAGTTACTCAAAATGATTCATCGTCAGTTTTGCATATTTCACAGGAATTTACTGCTGATTTCTCAAGAGAAAGTCAAACAGAGATAATCTATGCTTTCCAATTTTTCACAAGTTAAAAAAAACATTAATGTTTAATTTTCATAGATTTTTTCTTGGTGGATTTGGTTTTCTTTGTGCAACTGGTATTACATCTGAAGATATAATGTACAATACTCTTCCTCTTTATCATTCGCTCGGTAAGTTTCTTTTTTCCCAAAGAAAAAGCAAATAATGTTTTTCATTTAATCGATTTCCTATTTTACAGGAGGTTGGATCGGCATTTGTTACAGGCGCGTTTCGATGGATATTAAATCTATAACATTTGTCTTTTTTTTCTTTCGTTTAGTCTTTTAGGAGGTTGTACAACGGTATTACGTAAAAAGTTTTCAGCTTCAAATTTTTGGAAAGATTGTATCAAATATAAATGCACAGTAAATATAAACTAGTATAAATAGAATGAACTTTTTTATTTTGTTCTTTCTCAAAAAGGGTTTTTCATATGTTGGAGAATTATGTCGATTTTTACTTGCTCAACCACCTAGTGAATACGATCAAAAACATTCTATTCGTCTTTGTTCTGGTAATGGACTTCGACAAAACTTATGGATACCATTTGCTGAACGATTTAATATACATAAAATTTATGAATTTTATGCTGCAACTGAAAGCAATGCTTATTTTTGTAATATTATTTTCTTGGATATTTTTCTGGTATTAAAAGTTTTCATGTTTTTTTTCTTTGACAGTTAATACAGATTGTCACCCAGGTGCTTGTGGGTTTTTTTCTGTACTTATACCTAGTCTACTTGGTTCTGTTCTTGTGAAATTTGATCCTGAAACAATGGAACCATTACGTGATGAAAAAACAAAATTATGTGTACGATGTGACAGAGGTGAACGTGGTTTATTATTAGGTATGATTAAAAAAAGTATATTACATGCATTTGATGGTTATGTTAATAACCCATCTGGAACAAAACGTAAAATTGTTGAAAATGTTTATAAAATAGGTGATCGAGCATTTAATACAGGTAAAAATTAAAATACAAACAGTTGAATATGTTATGTAGGTTTTTGTTTGGAATAGGCGATGTTATTTTTGCTGATAAATATGGATTTTTTTATTTTTGTGACCGTACAGGTGATACGTTTCGTTGGAAGAGTGAAAATGTTTCAACAATTGAAGTTGAAAATATTCTTATGAATATTCTTAAAAAAAATGATGTTATCGTTTTTGGAGTTGTGGTACCAGGTTTGAAAATTCTTTTTTTTTATGCTTTTGAAAGAAATAATTTACTAACAAAATTTTTCATAATAGGATTTGATGGAAAAGCAGGAATGGCTGTTATGCTTGATGATCCTTCTGTATCAATTGATTTGAATACATTAGTAAACGAACTTAAAAGACAAGGATTACCTCAATATGCTCGACCATGTTTTATTCGTTTGACAAAAAATATTGAATTAACAGGTTAATTTATAATTAACGGACGGTCGGAAAGTTTTTAGACAAGATGCTTCTTTACTTTTGATTCAGTGAAGAGTATTTCAGACGAGTTAAAAGCTATGATTTAGTGCTCTTTTTGAGTATGATCCTACGAGGAAACTACTTGAGGTTGATATCTTGTATTTGAAATGAAAGACCAATTATTACGTGAAGTCTGTTGAGACTAGAAGAAACCTTGAAGGATTCTTCTCTATGCGCTACCATTTTTCAATTTATGACCTTTAGACTAGAGTTTTTAGCTTTGGCACAGTTTTAAAAAGCCGGACAAACGAATTGTGGCCTAAAACTGTGCTAACAGATAACTCTTGAAATCATTAGAATCTCCTAAAAATGTTAGCCGAAAAGATTGATCTCTTTTTAAGATATTAAATCTACAAAAAATTTGATTTTATGTCATCAGAGCTGCCAATAGAAAAAGTTTTAGGTCTAGATTCGTTTGTCCGCTGTCTTTTATAAATTCAATCTCAAAGCTAAAAAAAGTCTAATGTAATGGTCATAACTCAAAAATGACAGTACATCAGGCAGAATTCTTCTAAGCTTCTTCTAGTCTCAACAAGCCCTACATAATGAATGGGATTCCGTCTCAAACACCATGTATCAGTTCGGATGGGTCTTTCATTAGAAGTTTCGTTTAGTTTTTGTTCGAGTGTTGTAATGAAATAACCTTTGAAAAACCGAAAAAATTAGTTTGAATGGGATTTATGGGTTGGTGTTTCCGGTGAACATGTTTATTAAAGCATTTCAGACGAATCAAAAACTATAGGTTGCAATCAAAATTTGAACATGAGTTTTAGAAATGTTGTTTCTATTTTTTGTTGAAGGGTAATAAGAGACTTTTTGAAAGAATTGAAAAAATTGTTGTTAATAGTGAGTCAATCGGTTTTTATGTACCTTATAGATCCCCTTCTGAACATGCTTGAAGTTGTCGGAGTTGGTAATTGTGCAGAGCAAACATTTCTCTACATAAGATAAAATAAACTTCAAATAGTGTATTCTATGGAGTAGACGCCAGCGTATAAGCTAATATGAAAACCCTAACTTTTAGTTGCAAACCTCAATAGTGAAAAATACAAAAAATTTCCATCCGAACTAGTTTTGGGGACTTTTTAAAGATTATTTCACTCCTCTCGAATAAATCTTCCAAACTCATATGCCAAAAGAGCAGAGAAATCTGGTCCTACCTTATTGGAAATACTTTCTAATGGGTCAAAAGTGAACAAACATCTTCTCTAAACACTTACCAATTTCTCATTATTATGTGAATATTATTTCTATTGTTTTGTCTTTATAGGTACCTTCAAAGTTAAAAAGACAACGTTTCAGGAAGAAGCATATGATCTAAATCGTATAAACGAACCAATCTATTATTTAAATCCACAGAAACAAAATTATGAACTATTAACACCAGAAATTTATGAATTAATACTTAAAGAAAAAATAAAATTTTAAAATGATTTTGTTTTTTCTTTTTTATTCCGTCCTATGTTCGTTTGTTTTTCTTCTACGGCAATTTATTACGTGATAGTTCTTTTTTTTTCTTTTTTGTTTTTATTCTGCGATGTATGAGTAAAATATTAAAACAAATAGTTGTTTTTTACGTACATCTGTATGAATTGTTATTCGATATTCTTTTTTTTTATTAAAGTATTCCTGCTAAATCCTTCCATAGGTATAAGATGATAATGTTTGTGGAATTTTTTGCATTTTGAATTAAGGATATAAAGTTGGTTGGGTTGTTTTTTTTTTCAGACAAAATAAAACAGATGTGGGTTGAATGGTTTATTCGATGTTCAAAATCGATTAGTAAATGGCCGTTAAAACTTTTTTATGATGAATGTAAACGACATCGTTATATGCTTTCATTCAGTCCACTTTTATTTATTAATAATCGAAGAATTGATAATATTTCATTAAATAAATATGATTGGAACGACAATGAAAGAAAATATTATAGAAATAAATATCATACACAATCAACTTTATTTGCTTCATCAATTATTGGTGCTTTAACAAGTGCAGCTGTTGTGTTCTCGTGGAAAAATGATGGAGTCACTGATGAAGAATTGTAAGTTTAAAAACATATTCATTTTCGATTCATATTTTTCTAATTTTCATCAACAGAATGAAAAGTTTAAAAGACGTATTAATTTTTATTGTCGAGTTTGTTCGATTGTGATAGTTTCTGAAATATATAGAATCATTTGAAACTGACTGAGAAAAGTTTTCTAAACCTTACTCTATCTTGAAAAAGTTCTATTAGAGGTCTCAGCGTTTCTGTTCTTGAATGTTCCGTTCACAATGAACTAGAACGCATTTCATATTGCGTTTTCTAACATAGTTGCAACATACTGAAGTTTGTATACTTCTTTGCTTAGTTTTTTATGCGAGTGTTATGTATTTGTATTTATCTAAATACGAAATAAATATTCATTGGAATTTATCTTAATCCCGTTCAAAACTTTCATGATTATTTCCATATTAAGATTTGTTGGACAATATGAAGAATCAGGTTTTTGTGTTTTATTGAATCTTATAAGACGATGATAGAATTAAAAATTTTAAAATATGATTTTGGATTCTTATAGTTTGATGCTTGGAGAGTTCTCAAAATAAAAGTGATACTTCTAATTTTTAATGTCATTAATGTTTAATCTAATAGGAATTGATTAATTTAGACAACAAGCAAGTTGTGATGAATATTTACTTAATATGACGCATAGTCAAGTTGATGAAGTTTTAATTACACTTGGATGGGAAAAAATTCTTCGAAAAGAGCACTTATTACTTTATCGTAAATATGATCATGATTTACAAGTTTATTCATATAAAAGTAGATAGATTTCATTCATCTGTATTTTATTTAATTTGCTTTTCTTTAAGTTTTCGGTACATTTAATGATATATCTGCATTAGTTTTTCTTCAAGTACAAGTAAATAAATTTTCGGAATAAATGAATTTTTTTTATAAAGGAAATTATTGTCTTTCAAAGCTCGATCTTGACTATCGAATGAAATGGGATGATCATGCTTTACGTTTATCTATAATTGATACAGATGACGATACTCAAAGTGACATTGTTCATTGGATACAAAAATTTCCGTTTCCATTAAATCATCGTGATTATCTTTATGTTAGACGTTATTGTCTTGATATATCAATAGAGACCTCACCGAAAATTATTATTAAATGTCATTCAATTAATCATCCTAATGTTCACAATGATAAAAAATGTGTACGAGTTAATAAATATGAATCAACAATGATTATTCAATCAAAACATAAACTTGATGAAGTTAGTTTTAAAATAATAAACAAATTTTATTTAATTTCCTTTTTTTTTAAAGAAAGGAATGAAATTTTTATTAACATATCATGAGGATGCAAAAGCATCGATACCTACATCAACTTACTCATATTTAGCTCAAAGTGGTAATGTTTAATACTATGTTATTTTTGTTTTGTTTAAATTATGTCTCGTTTTTTTTCTTTTAGGAATTCCCGATTTTGTAGAAAGACTACATCTTGCAGCTAAAAAACTTCCAAAATGTAAGAACATTTTGTGAAACAATATCTAAAAGGAGTGTTGAAGTATAGAGGTAAAATTTTATATATCTCCTCCTCCCCATAGAGCGTAAAGTAGCCATGGAAACATCAGAGAACATGACAGATGTTATAGATATACAATCACAGTCCAAATATCAATACTGTCTCGTTATACTATAAGGAGAGGCTCGAAAACTTCGGGACAAAGCTTTGAGTCATTTTTCGATCGATTCAAAGAGCTAGCACCGTTTTGAAAACCTTGACATAGAATCAGAATTTTGTGTCTTTGGTGAATTTAGGTTCAAAATTTTTGTGGAATTTATAGATTAAGAATTATGAGCGTCTCTCTGAAAATTTTGAAAATAGAATCTAGAGTGGTTTTAATATGCAAAAAGGCATCTAGGATAGAACTAAAATTATTATTAAATATACCAAGAGAAAGAACCAATATAGTGTGGCCATTTATGGTTTGCAAAAGAACCGTTCATAGAATTTCTTGAATAAATACCATCATTACTGACAAGGATATCTAATTACTATTTAAGTGCTGAACTAAGAAATTTTCAAAATATAATGTAGTCAAACAAGAGGAAGTGGAACAGAGAGAAATTAGTGTTCTTACGACAGAAATACGATGATGTAGAAAGAAAATCGTTGAAAAACACTACAGAATGGATTTGCAACATGATAGAATCATATTCTCCGTCACTGAATCTGCTCATGCAATAGTTTCCATTCAAAATGAATTTTCAAGCTATTCAAAATTCCTTACCTATGAGTCCTACAAAAGTTATGAATTCACAATCGTGAAGAACACAAAGTTCTGATTCTAATCCAAGATTCAAAAATTTCTGCTGACTCTGCAAATCCTTTGATAAATGAAGAAACAGCTTGTCTCTAAACTTTCGGGCCGTCCGTTATATGAACTACTTTCTTATTACGTTTCTGAAGGATTAATTCAAAGAATGGTGAAGAAATGTGTCCCAAAATGGATACAATAAAACAATCTTTCTGTGATTATAAACAGCATATTTCACATCTTAATCTCGCGTGAATTGCACTAGCCCCTTTTTTTTTCTTTATTTATTATTTTTTTTTTCTTTTAGCAAAACAATATCTCAGTATTGGCTCACTTCCACAATGCCGTTTCCTTGGCGATACCCCTAGCTAATCTTCAACAAAACAAAATTATTTCTGCTTATGTTGTTTTTCTAGTAGTACTAGAACAGAATTTTTGTAGAAAAGTGTTTACTTTATTCACTAAAAAAAAGAATTGTTTTTTTGTTAACACTTTTATTCGAGTTCACTCGAATGGTTTGTTGTTTTCTGTTTTCAGATTTTGTTATTTTAATGAAAGAAAATGCAGACAAAATCTTTTTTCAAAATATGTCACAAGAAAATGAATGATTCATCAATTTGATAAATTAATTTTTTGGACAAAGAATAAATTGAAAAAAATTTTAAAAAAGCTGCCTAAGATATTACTGTAGCATTTATATTATTATCGGAATTTGCTAATGTCTATCAACACATACGAGTCATGCTATGAAAACTTATTATTTCACATATTTGAGCATTTTAGAAAAATTTTAGAAGACTCTTTTCCTTTATATAATAACTAATGTAACTACTAATAATGATGATGATAAAGATGAAAACATCTGCTTAAGCTTTCTAATAGTAGTTATTAATAAATATGTGAAAGATATTATTCAGTTATGAATTTATTTATCAGATAATGAAAGAATGATGTACAATGCCACTGAACAACTTTTCTGATAAAGCTACGGTTTTAATGAACCACGAACGGCAGATCGTTTATACATCTATACACACCGATGAAAATTGTGTTGTATCGAAACTGCAGCGAGGGCAAGGATAGTGGCGTCTGAAAGGTAAGTTTATTGCAACTGCAACGACAGTTTTTTTCAGTTACCACCATGTTTTTTATCGGTGTGCCTAGACGCATTAAAGGTCTGACTTTCATAGTTATACACGATAGGAAACAATGTTCTTTTTTCAACAATATCAAACTCTCATATCAAATAAAAGAAATTAGTTGCCTCATATTACTAAAAAGAAAACTATTATACGAAGCATATGAATCGAAGGTAATAGGATTATAATGTACCAATACATGAGGCATATAGCAACGCACTTATGATGTTCAATACGAATCATGATTAGCTATCAATGATGTCAATATACAGTGTATTTCCATAGATTTGATATATGTTCATAATTCTATTGGATTAGAGTGTGAACATTAAATGGTATCATGTTGTCTTCAGACTGATCGAGACGAATTATGAGATTTCATGTGTCCTATGACATGCTATATAATATGTAAATCAATATAGAAATGTTTCGATATGACGGTTATAAGTTTTGTAAACTTGCATGAAAACAATATTCATCACGCTACTTTTTACAGTGTTCTTTATACAATTGTCTCGATTAATCTTCATTGATTTGTATGTATGCCATCTAGGCATGCACCCAAACTCAATAGAAGAATTTGGGTATTTCAAACTTACCTCACTGACTATGAACTGTATCACTAAACTGTGTCGCCATTAATATTGAAGGAAGTCTGCCTTTGACAACTAAATGGAAAATGATCAAATGAGCTGCTTCATTAAATGAGATATTCAAAGAGAACTGAACAACCTCCCAAACCCAAACTCAATGAGTTTGGGTTTGGGTTTGGGTTTTGTGACTGACTCTAGTATTTAGTCTAAGAAGGTTGCCGAAATCTCTCTTTTGGTATTCTATAGTGTCATCCTCCTACTTAAGTTTTTCACTGAAGAAAAACTGTTGTATAGCATGGTTCAGTAAATAACGGCATTTTTCCTTATTTGGGCAGAAGTGACCCAAACGGTTTGGGTGCATGCCTAATGCCATCAAAGAATGACTATTATTGGTTGCTCATGAATCAGTAAAAAAAGCAATATATTTTAAACATTTACTATCATTTAGGAATCATTTCATTGGATTGAATGAATATGCTATCATTAAATACAAATATGACACTTTTGGGTTTGACTCAACAACTTTGTAGAAATTGACGTTTTCTTGTTTTGTACGTCATACTCTTCAATAAGCATCATACTCAGTGCATATGCGTACATTTTTTTTTTCGATCGAAGTCACATAGTCCGATGTCTTTTTCTGTTAGTCTCATACACACATAATTACTCAAGGAAGTACTTCTTTTTTCTTTTCTTCATACTACTAGGTTGAAATGCTTATCACTGTTTAGTCATAATTATCACATTCACGTTATCGCTGTTCTTATACTATATTTCTTCTTTTATTGTGCACGGTAGTCGTGATTTATTTCTCTCAAATTCACTTAGAAAAATATCCATTAAACCTCTGTATAGTATGTTTCACCTTTGGATATTATGTGTTCTACCTTTGAAAATAGCCTCTGGATTAAGTGGTAATCCGTATTTGTTTGCTAATGAATTCGTAGATTCATCTGTTGTCTCGAAGACATCAGGTAAATTTGCCGGTCTTACTATTTGACAGACAAATGTTTGGGTTGGCATTCCATATGCAACTCCACCTGTTGGCGCATTTCGATGGCAAAAGGCTCAACCATATGTTGTGAATAATAGTCAAAACAATACAATACAACATGCAACTCATTATGGCCCATCTTGTCTACAAATTAATCGAAATGGCTTTACTCCGGGTCCATTTGATGAGGACTGTTTGTATCTAAATGTATGGGCCCCTCGTAAACCGCCAGCTTTGTCAACCGGTTATCCTGTAATATTATGGATTCATGGTGGGGGATTTATTGAAGGAAGTGCAACACAAGTAATTTATGATGGACTCAGTTGGACGAATGCCGCTATACAAGAAAATAACGCGTTTATAATGGTTAGCATGAACTATCGACTAAATGTGATGGGATTTTTCGCTCAACCAGCTTTGTTAGATGAGCATAATCAGACTACAGCTAATCAAGGTATTACTGATCAACGTATGGCAATGATATGGATTCAGGATAATATTGTACAGTTTGGAGGTGATAAAAATTCGATTACTCTTATGGGTGAATCGGCAGGATCACATTCAGTTTGTATTCATATAGTATTGCCACTATCTGCTGGTTTATTTCATGCTGGTATCTTAGACAGTGGATCCTGCGATACTTTATCCTATTTGCGGGACAAATCATTTGCTTATTCAACAACAAAAGATCTTGCATTGCTTGTTGGCTGTAATATGACTAGCGCAGTTCAACAACTAGCTTGTTTACGAGCGGTCAATAGTTCTTTATTAGTAGATACTATAGCCAATGTGTCTATTCCATCGTCGACATCATTAGCATTTAAAGATCAAGAGAAAGTTGGTGGTACTTTCCCATTCACCATAATCGTTGATGACATGGAAATACCTGTTCATCCACTGAAAGCTTTCTTATCAGGAGCAATTAATCAGGTACCCATATTAACGGGAGCAAATCATGATGAATTTCTTTTGCGCACCTTATATGAAGATTATTTTCATCCACCAACCAGTACTGGAGATTACTTGACTCGCATTCTACCAATTATAACGTATAATGATTCTGCAATTCAAGCACTATATACTTAAAGTCAATTTAGTGGCAATTATTCGCTAACATTTGTCAACTTATTATCTCAAGAAATCTTTCTCTGTAGTGCTCGTCGTATGGCTGGATATATGTCTGGACAACCGATATTTTTGTACACGTACACTCATGCACCAGAGTTTTATTGGTTCCCATGTCCTGAAAATCACCGCGATTTTCGCGATTTTCTAAAAAATTGGCGTAAAATCGTGATTTATCGTATTTCTTCAAAAGATCGACGATTATATCAGATTTTATCGCGATTATGGGAGAAGAGCTGATTTTCAAAAATCATTGATAAATCATGACGATTATTCATTCACCGTTTTGTTATGAACACACACGGATATATAAACAACGCCGTTCAATGCATAACAAATAAGTTTTCGAAATATACTTTTTTGATAAATTATTTCTTGGTTATTTTTAATCAAGGGAATGCCAATCCCGATCCATGATCTGGAGAGGACTACACTGAAGCGGTCTGATAAGAATCGGACCAGCTCGAGATCGCACGATCTGATCGGCTTGGACCTTGAGAACAAAAAAAATTGAATTAAATTCAAGAAAAAATCCAAATATGTGTCTTCAAAAGAACCGATAAAATAGTAGAAAATATCAGTAAACAGGAGGTTAAATCTTGCATAAAATCACGATTTATCGTAAAAATCGCTGAAATAATCGGGAATAATCGGCGATTCTATCGCGATTCAGCTCACGATTATCGTTTCGATGAATCGGGATTAATCGGCAATTTTTAGCCGATTCAACGGACATGGGTTGACAATACCAAACTTAATCATATGGCCTGGTGCATATCATACAGCTGAACTATTTAGTTTGTTTCAAACACTAGCTGTTTCACTTTACGGAGATGATATTTTCGAACCCGATGAACTACACTTGGCTACAGCTCTTCGTCGATATTGGACAAACATGATTACAAAAGGTCAGCCTAATAATAATGTTAGTTTAACATGGCCTCAATATTCATCCAACACTGATCAAGTCCTAATACTTGATAAAAACATGTCCACTACGAACTTCATTGGAATTTATCCTAATTGTAATCTCTTATCAAATGTACAAGTCAAAGTTTTTGGCGAATACCTTGGTTTCAATGCTACATGTACAGTAGACAACCAATGCTTTATTGTTAATTCTACTAAAACTGCTAGTTCAACTGAAACCACTAGCTCAACTACAATGTCTGGTTCAACTTATACTTAGTGGCGTAACTAGGGGTGGGCATGCCCGGGCGCCGCCCGGTCACCAATAGTTTTTGCCCGGGCACCGGTCAAAAGTAAAATTAATACTTAGCATCGGAACATCTTTTGTCGCATAATCAAAAGCACTGAAAACCATTCGTAAGTCCTACAAATATGATAAAAACTAGACACGTGGATGAGTAGGCAGTATTTGTTCCCTGTTTACATGGTCCGTTTTTCTTTTTTCTGCTTAATTTCACCCCACAAAAAAGAAAATACATTTAGAACTGCGAATTTGCCTTGAAGTTTAAGGCAGACAATTTTCTAATTTTTTTGGACGTGTTTTCGAGAGAATGGGCCACTTTCTCGCTAAATTTGAGAACCGAAAACGGAAAAATCGAGAATTTTTTGGTGACAAAGCTAAGTTTCCTAGAGAAGAAAGTGAATCCGATTTGTAAAATTGGTGAGTCCAGGGCCACCCAAACTGAAAGAAGTGTAGGAATAGCAGTCTCCCTAACTCATTGATGAAAAATTTTCGATTTTTCAAGGCGAAATTCTAGAATGTTACTGTTGTTTCGAAGAACTTTTCGTGTTCTCCTCATCAGGTCTCGAAATCAGATCGGCTCCCTCCTAGTAAAAAAATTTCAATTTTTTTCGAAAATTTGTTTCAATTTTGTCCTTTTTCCCTCGCAAAATTGACAAAAAAATGCTGTAGTTTCCGTAAAAATTTGTGTACATTTTTCAAAAAATTCCCTAATTGATCATACAGATCGTCGGTCCTCGCTCAGCTCGGAGGCTTATAGGCAAACGTGTTCGTGAGCGAGAAAAATGAAAGATTCTGAAGCTCATTCAGTAAAATTTGCTCGAATTGGATTGTATCATCACTCTTACTTTTCCTAATTTACGCAGCCTTGGACATATTCTATTCTCTTTTTAAGAGAACAAAAATTGTGAGGACTAATCACTCTTCGATGAAAATTTTGACTACTGTGAATTAAATTTTTGAAACACTGGGGCACCGCCCGGGCACCGGTCATTTTCTGGTTACGCCACTACTTATACTACCAGCTTAATACCTACTAGCCATAATCTACGTTGCTGTCAGCTTGATTCATTTTTGGTTTTATGTGTGTTGTGTATGTTTATTTTAACGTTCTAACTATTTCCGCTAAATTATAGTCGTATTAAGTATATTTTGATCCACAAGGGACTTTAATTCACAGACAATTTTCCTTCTTGAAGATTTTGAATCTGGTATGACTATTTTCGTATCGTCCACAAGTGTAGAATGGCAGAAAAATTTAAATTACTTGTGTCATATAACTATCAGCTTCATAGCAAATCGTCTAAGAAAATAGAGAATGCTTCATGAATTTATATTACTGATTCAGAATGAAAAAGCAGTGAGTTCTATTGTTGATGCATGCTGAAGTCAACTAAAAGAAAAATGTGCTACAACAAAGATCAATGCATAAAACTTTTGACTAAACTATTGCATTCTATAAACCTAAAAGATTATGCCACAATTCATTATTTGTCTTCGAAATTTCTTGACTGAAACGATTATATATTTTCAACCGAACTATCCGTTCCTTACCAACGGAAAATGCTGTTCAATAACAAACAGATTGATCTACTGTTTATCATAGTAGTTTTACTGATAATGTTGCAGTGATTCATATTTGAGTAAGTTCAAACTACAAATGATGTTGGATAGGCAGCGAAGTTTTAAATTTGTTTAATAATAAAATGATGTCTTATCGACTATTAGAGAAATTCTTTCTCAACTTATATGTGGATATTCTTGGTATAATCTCCTTGACACGCTAGAAAATACCTTCTTCTTGAGATGCAACTGAAAGGAATTGTTGGTGTCATTGTGAGAGAGTGGACGATCAGATGCGTTGGTAATAAATGAAAAATTAACAGTTTATTGAAAAGATAATAGCTAAGAAATAGAGAATAATAGGCTATACGTAAAGAGAGAAGACAATAAAAGAAAAGTGCGAAGAGCTGACGAGAAATATCTTCCGAATGATTAATATTTTTTGAGTCTGGGCAGTATACCTCATGCTGGCTCTAATAAATTATCAATACTTTGAAAAAAGTTCGTATTGTTAGCTTAATGTTGCCAAGATACTGCATTTTATGGTAGTTGTTAGCACAATACCGTTCGTGATTCCCTTCTGAAACACTGGAAAAAAGCTGATTTTCTTATTTCAACTTGATATTTTGCACAGAGATATACTTTAGACGAAATAGTTTGTTGTCAAATTTTTAGATCTTTTGATTTGCTTATACCATGAAATAAGAAGATCGAATCAACTAGTGTATATGAACAATGTAAATGAAATACTGTTACCATAGCCGTATGTAGATATAGAAACGACGCAGCGATCTGAAACTTTCACAATAACCTATTCTGTTTAAGGACTATCTCTGTGCAAAATTTCACGTCAAAATTCAAAATAGTGTTTCTCCCGTGTGTCTGAGGAAAAAACACAGATTTGATTTGAAAAATACTGTGAAACTATAGTATCTTAGCAGCAATAAACTGTCAACATGAACTCTTTTCAGAATATTCATTAAATCTGCATCAATTTCAGTCGAACTGATACCTGGATGAACTGGTGCTTTGACGAACTTGTACTAACTTGGGCTGTTACTCAGAGTGACTGATGGTCCATTCGACAAGTAATTTGTGGAATTGGTACTCAACTAAAATGATACCTAGGTGGGCGAGTATCATTCAGCTGGTACAACAAGAAATCTTTAGACATTCTTTTACAAAAAAATTCGTTTTCATGATCATAGACTATGGTTCATGTGGTTCCGTATCCAAACATAGAACATATCAAAGATGAGTGCAAGGCAACTTTTTTCTGTCCGATCCTGCTACCTGACTTCGTGCTAGTGGACAATAGGGCGGAACATAAATTATAGCTTTGCCCTGTTCTGCAACAAACGATAATAGGACTCTCTTGTTTTTTGCTTAGCTTTATCACATATGACAAGTTAGTCTCAAATAGGAACATACTGAGTAAAACTGATTGTTCATGACTTAAAACCGCGATTTGTCTATGCACTTTTCTTGTAAAACTTCAAAACATGTTTATGGCATGAAAGAGCATATACTTAACTGAGAGAAACATATCTTTGAGGATATGTGTTGTAGCATGTGCTATGAAGTTAATCTTGTGTACCTTCGAATGTATTCTGTTTCACAAATTGATGCAAAGGTAATTTTCAAATCAGACGTAGAGAAACGTAAAAATGCTCTGGTATAAATTCAGTCATTTTATTATTATAAGGTTTTTCTTCATAGATAACCAAGTTCATGAGGGTGAATCAACAGGCTGATAATTAATGTTCTGCGGGTACGACTTTTATGAATTTTCAATTCCCGTTCTCACATGCCTATTTCTGTTGTCGTAATCCTTTTAGAGTTACTATGATGGCTTCATTTTCCTTGTTTGAGAAAGACAATAAGTATCAGACACAAGCTCCTATCAGCATCGAACTCCGTGTAGTGTGAGATGGCATTAAAATGAAAATAAAATTATCATCGAAAGTACATTTTAATCAGATAAATCAATTATTATTTCTATGTCAAAAATTCTCAACATTAATTTATGGGAATTATTACTTTCATCAACTCAACAATGAAGAAAAGAAAAAAAAATACTAGCACATCAACAGAATGAATAAAAAATTAAAGACATTCACGAGGAGAATATTGTAATGATGTCATGTAGCGAGATAATTGAGATAACAGTCCTTTTGAAGGTAATAACCATAAAGCAAATAGTTATCATAACAGAATTACAATGTAATGAATAAAAACTACATCAAACAAAAGGGTATTGAGAATGCTCATTTCTTAAGATCGTTTTCGATCTTGAACTCTTCACGGGAACGTTCGTTCCCAACTTTCACAAGAAACGGGGCGAAAAAAAACCCGGTTCCACTAAACACTATTAATAACAATACTCGTAGAATGTTTCATTATGAACAGATTCAATTTACATTTAATGAAACCACAACATAACCGGACAAACTTAATAATATTGATTAGTGAATTTGAATTTTCTGTTTTTCAACGATTTAACTATAGAGAGCGATACACATTCCGAATGATTGATTTTATTCTTTAAAAAAAACAATACTATTATAAATGGTAAAAAGTCTTCAGAATTTGATCAACTGTATTGTTCCATGAATACCTTTCGTACCAATGATCTATCTTTTTTTTTTTATGAAATATTATCAGTTTCTTTTCTATTATATAAGTACCGTATGAATAACATAAGCTGAGTTATTAACGATGAATTATAAAAGAAAATGATCGAAGTTAGACAACGTTGTTGAAACCACAGAAAAATTGCTTTCAAGAAAGGTAATAAAAGACACCTTTGTAAATAGTGAGAGATAAGACAAAGAAAACGACCTTGAGTCCTCTAGTGTGTACCGACTTTTTGATTCACAGGCCATGATAGCAAAAATGTACCATTGAATGTCTATGTTTTAAAACAATTATCACTATCTATTGACATCAATTAAATCAACTCTACAAGATAACAGGACATAGGATAATAGACACTCATGTTCACATAGAAACAATTATTTTCTTAATTCAATAATGTTTAATTTGAATTATATCACTTAATTTAAGTATTATGTAGATCAATAGACTACATTTTTTATTAAAAATATCTTCAATGTTTGAAACACAAAAAAAAGAAAGATAAATCAACATAACAAGCGAAAATAATGTTATTTATTGTATCTGTGAACAAGCAAAGTCAGTGACCAAAAAAAGAAAAAGTTATCTTGTTATCAATCTATTGATAAGACAGAATTTCAAGCTTGTGTAAGAAAAAAATACGTTTATTTGACTGAAAATGGACATAGATACAAGTATAAAATTTGATGATTCTATATACAGATCAAATGCATATAATCGAAATACAACAGCACCACCACATAACTCAAAAACAATTATTAAATATATTGCACCACGTGTTATAAAAACTAATTCTATAAACAATGCTCAAGGACTTAATCGTGGTGTATGCTGGTCAAATGTTGCTTCACAATTTGCAACAGTAAAAATAACTCATGGTCTTGCATCACTTGCTCAAAATCCAAAATTTTCAACAATGCCATCCATTCATAGTATTGATGGTGAACGTATTATTGATGAACAACGTGAATTATCAAGAGTAACTGAAACACTTAGTAATACAATAATAAAATTTTGTACTTTACAAGCACATAATCGTGTTCATGAATTACAAATAAATTGGCTTGAAAAACAGCTAAAAGAAAATAGTATAATTGTTGAACGAATGTTTCAAACAGAAATGGAAAGTGCAAAAAAAATAATACGTGAAACTTTACAACAAAAATCTGGTTTAGAAAAAAAGTTAAATGACGCAGATAAAACAAAACAAGCAAACGATAGACAATATGAACAAATATTAGCAAAACGAAATACTTATAGTAAAGATTTATTTGATTTAGAACGTCAAATAGCACAGAATATTGCTGAATCACAATTTCTTCAACGTCGTGTACGTCATTTCGATGATGAAAATAAATTTTATTTATCAAAAAATCAAGTTTTGCATGATCGAAAAGTTCGTTTACGCTACGAACTAGACGAAGAAATATTTGCTCAACATTCATTAAAAATGGAACTACAAGTATTAGAAAATGAAAAAATAACAAAAGAAGATATGCATATGGCATCTCTTGATGATCATAAAAAGTCTATTGATTTAACACAGATAGGAAGTACGCAACCATGGAAGTATTATGCTGATCACTTAACTGATGAAGTTCAACGTATGCGTACTGAATTTGAACAAAAACTTAATGTTTATCGGGAAGAATTACATCGAAACTTTGAACTTGAATTATATCGTTTTCATATATATAAAACCAGCTCAGAAACATGTTTAACAAGAGAGAATATGATGAAATTAAAAGAATATCAACATGCAAAAGACGATATTACACAACAAATAGCCTCTATACATGGAAGTATTAGTGAAATAATTATGAAAATAAAAACAATAGAAACACAAGTAACATCTGAAAAACACGATTATCATATGAGCGCAAAACAACAGTTAGAAATGCTTAATCAATTAATACAAGATCGTGAACGACAACTTGATGAAGCTATTCGTGATCGAACAGCATTTAAACAAAAAATTGAATTTTATAAAGAACGAGTTGATCGTTATTCAAGACAAAAAACAAATAATTATCAGTGTCGATCAGTAAGTGTTCAAGAACTTTGTTCACCATCCAAATCAACGAATTCATCTATTCTTAAATCAACCAATCGTTGGTCATGTCAAGACTTAAAATATGAAAGCAATGAACAAAAATGTCCATTAACACCACGTTTACCACCAAGTAATTGTGAATCAACTTCTCCACAACGTCAAAAATGTTCATCAGCTATTCGAGTTGATGAATTACGGGTATTATATATCTTAATTAAATAATTTCATTTGTCTTGTTTACTTATAGAATGAAGGTACATTAACAAGATTTGCTGATTTCAATATTGAACAAGGTTTTAAAAATTTATAATCAAAACTAAAATTTATTTTTCTCTCTCTTTATTTAGATTGTGAAGAATTATATAGATTATTAAATGATTCTAATGTAGATGAAATAGCTGTTATTCAAATACTCTGTAATAGGAGTGTTGATCAACGTTTGGCTATTCGGGATAAATATAAACATCTTTTTAATCAAGTATGTTTAAAATATTAAGAGATATTTTTCTTTCAAGTATTTTGGTTTTAGAATCTTAATCATGGCCTTGAAAAGATACAAGATTATACTTTAAGTAAACTTTTAAGAGTATTGTTATTATCACCTGTTGAACGTGATTGTTTGGAAATAAGAAGAATATTAAAGAGACCGACTATAGATGAACATGTTCTTGCAGAAATATTCTTTAGTCGTTCAAATAAACATATTCAAACAGTACGAGATCGTTATAAAACATGTAAATGACAATATCGTTTTTCTAAACTCATTGAATCCTAAAATACATATATGTTCTAGTATACAAAAATTCCATTGAACAAGATATTATTGGTGATCGAGCTAGTTCTTCAAAAAAAATATTTCTTGCATTATTAAAATCTAATCGTCCAGAATATAATGTTATTGATGATGATGAACTATTAAGAGATGCTCGAGAATTATATGAAGGAGCAACGCAATGGAAAATAGATGCATCAATATTTGTTCGACTTCTATGTACTCGCAGGTTTATTTTTGTGTTAGACTTTAACTTAATTTTTAGATTTTTTTATTTTTATTAAAGTAATGCACAATTGAAGCAAATATTTACAAATTATCTACAATTTGGTAAAACTAATATTGAACAAGCTGTACAAGTTTATACTGATGGTGATTTGTACCGTACTCTGATAGCTATTGGTATTTAAAATAAAAGTTTTATTTCATTTATTAAAATTTTGATTTGTTTCAAGTTCAAATTATTCGAAATCGACCACGCTATTTTGCTTATGGATTGAAGAAAAGTCTTGAAGTAAAATACTTACAAATTTTATTTATCTTGTCATTTTTTTTGTGAAACACGATCTACAAGGAGTGTTAAAGTATACAGTGTTGTGAAAAATTATAGAATCAATAGATTAATTTTAAAGTTTAATCGATTATCTACTAACTTAAACCGATGAATAAAACAAAAACACTGCTAGTGATGCATTCAAGTACTTGAATGCATACACTAGCAGTGTTTTTGTTTTATTCATCGGTTTAAGTTAGTAGATAATCGGTTAAACTTTAAAATTAAGCTAGTGATTCTATAATTTTTCACAGTACTGTAGATGTAAAAATTCGAGTTCCCCCACACGGAACGCGATAAACATCATGACAATCCATCAGAGACTGCGACAGTCGCTGGCTAGAGACCATCACAGGTTGTAGTAGAGATTATTAATATTTGAGCAAAGGCCGTATATCAATGATATTTTATTGTAAACTATAAAGTACTGTTGTATAGCATTTCTCGAAAATTAAATAAAAGGACGATGAAGAAATGTTTTCGAAAGTAGATGGAATAAAGCAATATTTCTGTGTCTAGCAACAGCAACTATATCGTGTTTCACATTGAATTCCATAAAGATTGCTCTAACAGCTTTTTCTCTAGGATGTAACAAGAAATGATGATAATGTGAATCGTATAATCGTTACACGTTGTGAGATTGATATGGTTCAAATAAAAGATGAATTTGAAAACATCACAAAAAATTCATTTTATGATGCTATTCAAGTTTGTTTATTAATATGTCAAATATATAGTTTCTATAAATTCGTTTTTCTAGGCGAGCACAAGTGGGAATTATAGACGAGCACTTTTAGAAATGTTACGCCATCGTATTGAAATAAATAATACAAAATCAAAATTAGAATCTGTGAATCAACAAGCAGCAATGATGAACAATGGAAATCTAAAAAGAGCATCGGTACAATGGAAAGAACCAATTGACGAAAATAGTTCAGATGTATTCGTTAAATCTACATTAGAACGTAGTGGTAGTAATTATTCAATGAATGGAAGAAGACATTGTAATTTTGATCAATCATCGACTAACTATTTCCATCGTCCATTTGATTATAATAATCAATCCAAAAGAAATAGTTTATCGGCAATGAATGTAACACCATCGAAATCATCATATCTTAATCGATGTTCATTTACACCAATGCCAACAACTGTTGAAAATCATTCACAATTAAATGATAATTTAGACTAAGAAAATTTTGAAAAACTATTTTTAATGTTTGTATTTTTTCGAATCTACAAATGATTTTTACCGAATAACAGTTGATCGTGATTATTAGAAAGTAATGAATGATTTAATTAGAATATTTCTCATTCAATTTATGATAGTGAATGGATTTTTTTTCTTGTATGAATTGAATTTTAATAGATTGGTTAAATTGCAACAGATGTAATCTTAATTGGTTTTGTCCAAGGTGAATCTGATTGAAATTTTATCAAATGAACTACGAAGATTGACTGGTTTTGCTTTGTCGATTTACCGGTTCAGTCATAGAATTCAACCGATGAAAAATCGTTCGATTTATACATCTATTAACCAGTCAGTTCTTGTGAAAGAAACTTTGTTCAATAAAGATATATGCTATACAACTCATAAAACTGTTAAGTTTTCTAGCAGTACCAACGTTGATTATAGCCTATGACGGACAATATATGTTAATACAAATAACAGAGAAAAAACTTTTTCAAAATTTTCCACCTAGTAACTCACAAAAGCGAATATTGAACAAACTCTATGCTGTGTTTTACCTTGCTTTCATCAATAAAAATATGATTTCTTAACAAAAAAATCAATAGATTTTATGTTTTCGTATTTTAAATCATTGCGTAACACAAGTAAACGACTTCTCAATTCATATAGGACTACTACTGCAGATAAGAAAAAAAGAGTGACAAAGCTCAAATTTTATATGAGACATTATATTTTCAGGATTTTCCATATCTAGATATTTTCACAATTGTATGAAACTAGCAGTTTACAAAATATTTATAATAAAAAAAAATAGATATCTTTAGTATTTTGTAATAAAAATATGAATCAAAAATTATATACCATAGAATTTTCGACACTCCATTACAAGCGGTCTAGAAAGCTGACCTTGAAAAATTGAGTTGAAAGACATAATTAATTCGTCAGGAATTATCATGTAGAAACTATCGAATTCATATTTTTGAATTATTAAAACTGTAAAAACCGATAAAAATGAGTAAAATAGAGTAGTTTCAATGCTGTTAAAGATGGACACAAAATCTTTGTGAAGAACGATCGGTTGTAAAAGCTTGACTAGATTAGTTCAGCTTCAAGTCTGTATGTTTTATAGTCAACTGAAAAACTAATTAAACTAAATCTTTCCTAGCTTGCAAATGTTTCATCGTCCTTCATTGAATTATTTCGGTCGATAGTATTCTAATTACTATTAAAAACTCCCATGACTGATGAAAAACTTTATTCAACTGTTGCCTTCCAGTTTCAATGGTTCTTTTACCTATAGATACTAGATAGTGCTCTAATAAAAATCCTAAAATGATTTGAATTTCTAGTGGGATTTGACTAAGCTATCGATTTTTTATCCGCAACTTTGTGCATACAGAAAATTCAACTAGATTAGTTTCCATGACAAATTTACAAGTTTTGAACAAGATCTCTTCCAGACATGAAGCTTTCAAAAATTGTATTTTGTATCAACAATCTAGGAAGAAGAGTATGTATGTCGAAAATATCATATCCCTAAGAGATTTCATTAATACGAGTTTTTCGAAAACCTGGCATTTCTCGAAAATAGACATATTAAAAATTCGATAGCTTAGTCAAATCTTAATAGGAACTGAACTCGTTTTAGGATTTTTACAAGAATAATATGCGATATATACTAGTACAAATCATTGAAATTGAAAGGAAGCGACTGAAGAGGTTCCATCATGAATGGCTACGTTGTTTAAAACGTACCCGCAAGGCACTGTGTTCTAACCTTGATGTCAGCAACCATGAAATAACTCTAGACAACTCACTAACGGCTGTTTTTTCTCGGATCATCCATCAGATAGTAAGCTGATTGTATTGCAATATAAACCTGCTCTTGTGACTGGTTAGTGCGTATGAGGAGTTCAAGCTATTTACCACAAGAACTTTGCGTTAAGTCGACCTTCTGTTCAGAGTTACAACTACTATTAGCTGTTGTAGGGGAGATACCTGGCTATTTAGTCTGCTACTAGGCAACACTTCATACCACAAAGTAGCCGAAAGGCAGTTACATTCTTTTTTTTTAAATTACTATTAAGTATGGAATAGAACAGACAGATACTGTCCTAAATGTAGCCAAATTTGATATTTTCAGTAAAAAAACAAACGAACCAAATCATTGTTGATGTTTATCTTGTTTATTTCCGACGTAACTAACATAGATCAATAATTATTATTGGAAGGATCGTGTCATTTAATCATCAAACATATGAAACGTTCTGTACTATATTTAATTGTTAATTATACATTATATTCTGTTTGGTTTGGCTTTTAATTGAAAGTATAATGCCTCTTAATCATTATACTTATTCTATTTATTATGTTTTAACACAAAAAAATATAAATATAATACACACAGACAAACTTTGGGCAGAAATATTTTTCATTAATGAATGAAACTCACTATTGCTTGACAAAAAAAAACGGAGAATATAATATCTCAAAAAACTTTTTTGTTTTTGACTGTTGTTGATTATTTTGTATCGCAAAGAAGAGCAACACCACGTAAACACCTAAAAAATGAAATCATTTTTTTTTAAATTTGACTTCTCAAGAAAAAATAAATAATTCTTTACCAAAAATCTGGATTGTTATTATTGATTTTTAATGATAATGAAAATATATAAGTTAAATCAGTACGTCGTGGTTTCTTATATACCGGACAAACATAATAAGCATTACCCAATGGTTTTGGTTCATTTGTAGCATAAACCTACAAGAAAAAAAAAACAAAGTTATTTATTTTGTTCTTCAGAATAAAATATCAAAAAATGAATAACTGACGTGTACAACAGGTAGATCCGAATAAAGTTGTTTTGGAGGTGGATCAGATAAATGTCCACCTTTTTCACGTGACATACGCCATGCAGCACCATCAATTTTCAATCCATAGATGTAAACACCTTCAGCTGGTGGTTGTGTTACTTCTTCTTTGGTTAGCATTTTTAAAACATCATTAGCAAGAACGACATTATCTAATGACCAACCTTTATGATTACGTGTTATTTCTTGACGCATAGCAGTTAGAAAACCCTAAATAAATTTTCTTAGTAAATAATAATAGATTTTAAAAAAACACTTACTTGTGGATTAAAAAATCCAGTAAGCCAAAAAACATTTGGTCGTCCACTAAATAACCATGTAAAAAATTGTTGATTTCGATCTAATAAATCACTAAACCAAAAACCTAACGTTGCAGAATCCCATGATACTTTTCTCCATGTTGCTGGTACACGTGCATCAAATATATTATCAAGTGCATCTTTTAAATTTTCATTCATTATAATTGTACCATCAATAGCTAATTTTAAATCTTTTAATGTACTACGTACAACTGTTAGAACACGTTGCATACGATCAACTTCTTGTTTTAAAAATATACTCAATGGTTGTAATGTACCTTGTTTTTGTAAAGCAGCACGAACTTCATGTGGAATATAATCTTCAGGTAATTTACTTAACATATCATCACATTGTCGATAAACAACTGATTCACGTGTTTCACCACCACCAGCACCAGCATCTTTTGGTTGAATATTAACAATTGTAGCTAAAATTGAATCAGCTGTGTTTGTTTGATATGTTATATCAGCATTTGGATGAAGACCAAAAACATTTGGACTATCAAATAAACTCATTGTTTCAACATGTGTACGAAAGTCTTGAATGGTTTTACAACGTGGAATTTTATAATTGGGTGCAAAATCAAATTTATCAGTAAACATATTATCAAGAAACCATACACGTGTATATGTATTTAATAATCGTTTATCAAAATCATCAGTTACACGACCACCATAATGAACTAAAAAAAACAAAACAACAATAATAAATAAAGAAAACAAAATGAAGCTATTAGCACAATCCATGTAAAATTATAATGTGAAAGAAATATTGCTAATCACAAGGAAATTGTTTTACTGTATCTAGTTTCAGATACATTTCTTCATCATTCTTTTACTTAATCTTCTAGAAATGCAATAATGAAGTATTTTAACGAGACATTATTGATGTGTACAGGCAGTGATTGTATATCAATAATGTCGGTGATGCAAAGGAGGCGTATTGCTAATGGATCTCTTTCGATCGATGATTTGTCATTGTTAACGAAAAAACTTCTTCAATACGGTCCATCGGGTTCAAGGCTTTCTGGACCTGAACCCGTTCGAGCTTGAGCTCAGGTGGGACCCGACAGGCTCTACTCTCTTCGGTTGTCAAATTGCTTTTCGACCAAACCGATGTTCATTTGATGAGTAATAGAAAAGTCTCGAATGATTTGGTCTTACAAACTTTCGTTCTCGAAATAGCTTTTTCAATCAAAAGCTGTGGTCTCCCTAAGGTCACGTAGAAAATACAACTTGCGCGTGTCTTCTATTACTCATCAAATAAGTGTAGTTTCGATCGAAAATCGATTTGATATCTGAAGACGTTTCCTTGTAAGATGTCTGTCATAGTCTGTAAAGAAGGACGTGCGAAGTTTCTGCCGTAGATACGTCAATATTTGTTTTAGATCTTGTTTCATAAAAAATTTATTATTAAAAATTATATTTACCTTCACCAATCATATATCGAACAGTTGGCCATGAAACATTCCATTTAGAACCCATTTCATCCATATGATTTTGAATAAATTGAATTGTAGCTGAAAAATCTGATTGATTAAATTCATATGGAATATTCCCTATTATGAAAAACAAATTAATTATATTAAAAACAATATTAGAAATACTATCGAATTTTAAACATACATCCAAGTGGACCAAATTTACGACGTTCTTGAACAGTTGTATGAAGAAAAGCAACAGCGTATAATATGATTTTCCATTCAACAAAATTACTAGCATCCACTACTTCCTAAAAAAAGATGGATTCAATTGTTTTGTTTTTTGAATTAAAATTCTACAAAAATAAATATATTATAGACCTGTGTCAGACCAGCAAATGTACGTTTT